TGCACATTTTCCATCCCAATTGCAACACTATCATCTTCATTTTCACTATCTGTTCCTGTTGTACAGCCATGGGATGTACTCTGAGATGTACTCCTACCCCTTGGAATAGCATGTGGCACACTACCAGAGTGCATATACCGTCGTATATACTGATGCTTCCCTGGAGAATATTCCACTTCACTATCACTACTGGAACTGTTTTCAAGAGCTTGTAGTTCATATTCACTATCACTATCATCACCAATGCTCACATCTGAGTCCGGGATATGGGAAAATAGGAGTTTCCTCTTTGGTTCTGGTACAACTGAACATGAACAAGACGGCCCAGCATCAGAGGTGGAAGGCTGAGGGTTGTCTGGGTTTTCCTCACTATTACCGGTATTATGGTCATTAGTTTCGGTCACAACCTCATCAAAACCTTGAAACTCATCTTCACTGGCACTTCCATATGTATTAGAACTGTCACTGAGAAACAAAAGTGTCCCAATTCGCCGAGGAGTGAGAAGTTTCTTACTGCGAGGCATGGTGAGCAAGGTGTACTAAAATGGCATTCCCACAATGTGCCACTGGGTCCCAGAATTTTTTTCTACCGCACACACCGACCACGCACACCCATTCTCTCACATCTAGGCCTACCAGCTGTTTCCTGCTTAATTTGAAGCCACTAGAATTTGTGCATACTAGTACGGCACCAACCCTGGTGCACAAGCCGTACTAGTACGGCACCAACCCTGAAAGGGTTAATTAACTCATCCACTGGCGGTGGAGTATCAGTGAAAATTCCTAGGGATGATTTTCATGGTAAACCAAATAATTGCAACCTGTTTTGATTTCCTCAAACTCTTTGCAGCAAAAAGAACTGTTCTGCTCTTTTGTCACTGCAATACAGCAAATGAACACAAATGAAAAAAAAACTTTAGCCACAATTACTAAACAGAAATATTTCTTAAGTAACATGATTGTATGAAAATCTACAAACCAGTTAGCTACTTGTTACAACTATTATATTATGCTCCTCTTGGATTTTCCACAGACAAAGCCTCTAATGTAGTTGTTTAATTATGTCTCTAAATTTTTGTAGCATCCCTGGAAGATATTCCCAGTAATCCAGTGTGTCACAACACCCCAGTTGGGAACCACTCATGTAGACATTATTGAAGAATATTCAGCAATTCAATTTATTTTAGTGTTATTACTCACTTGCATCCATCAGTTGTTCCCTGTGTTGAGTTTGATTCTGTATTGACTGCAAGGGGCTTCATGGCATCCAGAGAAACTTCCCTTGACACTTCTAGATTTGTCTCACTTCTTATTTCCATGGTTTTACTCTCTGCTCTGTCAACATCTAGTAAGCCATGAAGACTAATACTATCAAGTGTACTACCACTAGGCTCTGACAGCCGCCGTTTCCGTTTCTGCAGAAAGGAAAACACTGAATTAATAAAAATACAGCAGATCGTCATTTAACACGGTAGTTACGTTCCTGAAAATGCCATGTTAGGTAAAACCGTGTGAGATGAACTGAAGAACTTATGGGAAAAATAGGGTTACCTTCCTGGGAACCCCAAAAAAGCCAAACAACTTTTCTTTTTAGGCCTCCACATCTTACAAAAATAAAAGTGAATATGTAATTGTAGCTCATTGTCATGATGTATTATGTTGTTTTTACTGCATAAGATTACAAATACATCAGAAATAACAGTAATTCTTACCTTAGATTATGGGTGCTGGTGTTTGTGGATGATTGTGGAGAGTGGAGAGTTATGCTGTGGCCCTACTGGGCTGAGGTTCTGGTACTGAAGTCGATGGTTGTACTGGATTGTGCATAAATTCTGTAATGGATTTCTGTTCTATTTTACCTTACAGTATATTATACAATTGACGGTAAGGCATCAGCTGCTCTAGACACCATTTCAGGGTTCTCTTCAGTGAAAAACTCTAACTTTAAGTCATTCAGTAAGTCAGTCTAGTCAGTCAGTCAGTCAGTCAGTCAGTCAAGTCAGTAAGTCATTCATTCAGTCAGTCAGTCAGTCAGTCATTCAGTCAGTCAGTCAAGTCATTCAGTCAGTCAGTCAAGTCATTCAGTTAGTCAGTCAAGTCATTCAGTCAGTCAATCAAGTCAGTAAGTCAATCAAGTCAGTAAGGCATTCAGTCAAGTCAGTAAGTCATTCAGTCAAGTCAGTAAGTCAGTCAGTCAATCACACAAACTCATGTTTATCTCATTTTATGCGCACAAAGTGAACTTCATATCGGCCACAGGCTATCTCTTGTCTAATATCTCTGTTTTCTTCGTTAATTCTAAGACTTAAATGCTTATACCTTTTCTTGTCACTTTCAGCAACACTGGTATGCCTACTTGGTGTCATGATTGCTTGGCAGATACAAGATATGGTAATTAAAAGATCAAAACACAATTCACAAACACAGCTAGCTTGTAGGAGAGAAGAGGAACTGGACACGTATGAAGTACGAATGCTGGGATGGTATATCAGGAGTGTTAGGGGGTAGCAGGGGATAGCAGGAGGTTGCCACTGCTGATCCACAACAAGGCGGCTGCTTGAGGAAAAGGGATTTTTTTTCCCCTCCTGCAAACTGAACTGTGTTAAATTAATTTTACAAAGTGTTGTATAAAATTGTGCTGCAATTCTTTAATCGTGCTATACCTGAATCATGCCAAAGAAACTAGTGTTAAATAATGGTCTAATGTAGTAAAAAATTCCCAAGAATGGATAAAAACTAGTTACACTGAACAAGTCTAGATTCAGGTTATCAATATAGGAATTTAAATTACATCTCTGTTTCAAAAGTACAGTATTTAATTTTTTTTTTAACACGCTGGCCATCTCTCACCGAGGTAGGGTGAACTGAAAAAGAAACACTTCATCATCATTCACTCTATCACAGTCTTGCCAGAGGTGTGCAGTTATGGCAGCTCAGATGTCACTCTAAACAGCAAATATCCCAAGCCACTCCTTTAGAAATCAGGCACTGTACTTCACACCTCCAGGGACTCGAGTCCGGCTAACTGGTTTCCCTGAATCCCTTCACGAAATATTACCCTGCTCACACATTAACAGCTCAATACGTCCCAAAACCATTCATCTCCGCTCTAACATTCTCACACATGCCTGCTATATGTCCAAGTCTCCTGCACACTAATCTTCCTTTACCCCCTCCCTCCACCTTTTCCTAGAATGACTCCTACCCCACTCTCTCTCCATTGCAGATTTATACAACCTCTATGTCATCCTATTGTGCTCCATCCTCTCTTAACCCTCTGAGGGTCAGGACCCCTGATCTGAAACTTTGCTCTCAGGGTCAGAAAATTAAAAAAAAAAGTTATATTTTTGTTATGAAATGGTAGAGAATCTATCTCTGAAGGTAATAAAACAAATTTGATGGAAAACTGATGAAATTACACTTTTGTGAATTATGTTGTATCAGCGATATTTACACATTGGCGATTTTGCCCACTTTGACTCTGACTTTAGGCCAATTACATTATTTCAGTCAACCAAAATTCTTAGCTATTTTGCTAGTATGTGTTCCATTCTATTGATTGAGCACAAGAAACCACCCATTTAACTATTTCAACTAACCAATAAAGTCATCAAAATTTGGTAATTTGGCCAGTTTCACACAAAATTCAAGAAATGCCAATATTAACCCTTTGAGGGTCGACAGGCCCTCTCCGAAACTCGTTCTCAGGGTCGGCCAAATTTAAAAAAAAAAAAATTATTTTCTCTTATGAAAAGATAGAGAATCTTTTCCCGATCATAAGGACACCAAAAGTTTGAAATTTAATGGAAAACTTACAGAATTATGCTCTCGCAAAGTTAGCGGTCTCGGCGATGTTTACGCATTGGCGATTTTGCCCACTTTGAGCCCCATTTTCGGCCAATTCCACTGTACTAGTCGACAAAAAACATGAATATTTCGCTAGAACTCCATTTTTTCTATCGAATGGGTGCAAGAAACCACCCATTTATGAAATTCAACTATCCAGTACAGTGGTCAGAATTTAGCAATTTTGCCAATTTCACACAAATTTCAAAAGATGCCAATTTCCGAATAGGGTCCAGAATAAACAAGAAAGACATTCCTGGCACTAAAATGACATTTCCTCTGGTCATTAGTCACGTCTCAAGGCCCCTCTTATATTCTTTTGCTTTCCACTTTGAATTTTTATTCTCACAAAAAATATAAGATTTACTGTTATGCAGACTACTGCATTAGTGTAAAAAATGGTATAAATATTATTGGTGCACTTGTGAAAGAATATTAGACTCACCAGTTGACGTGTATTGCACGCTTGGCACGATTTGTTTACTTTTGAAATTTGGTAAAAATCGAACATTTCTGCAACTTTGAGCTCAATTTCAAGGTACCTTTCATTGTAAAACCAGTCAAAATCATCTCAATTTCTGTAATATGTCTTCCATTCTATAAAATGAGACCAAGAAAACTAGAATACAACAATAAATACCATACGAAAATACAGTGCAAAGTCGCTGTTTTATTCCAAAAAATGGTCAAAGTTTTTTTTTTCTCATTATGCACTGTGTGCTGCAGGATTATTTTTAGACTGTGCACACTGACCACATAGACTCATTCTTTCATATGAAGGCCTACCAGCTTTCTCCCACTAGATTTGAGGGCGCTAGAATTTAGGCGTACTAGTACGTCAAAAACCCTGGGTCGTAAGCCGTACTAGTACGTCCGAAACCCTCAAAGGGTTAAAACAGGGTCCAGAATAATGCAGACATTCCTGGCACTAAAATAGCACTTCCTCTGTTCATTAGTTATGTCCCCAGGCCTTCTCAGTATTATACATGAATTCTATTTAGAATTTTTATTCAAACAAAAACAGAATATTATTACCTGTTATGCAGACAAGCATTATTGTAATAACTGTATAAATAATGCCAATACATTCCTATTAGACTGGACAGATGGACATGTAGTGGATGAGTGACGTCATTTGTGTACTCTGGAATATCAGCAAAACTCAAACATTTCTGCTACTTTGAGCTCAAAATCATCTTTATTTCTGTAAAACATCTTCCATTCTATCAAATAAGACCAAGAAACCGGATATACAGCCATAAAACAATACAAAATACACTGCAAAGTTGCTGTTTTAAGCCAAAAACACAGTCACAGCTTTCCCCCCCCCCCATTATGCACTCCTTGCTGCAGGATTTTTTTATATAGTGCACATTTACTGCAGATGGTATTTATATACCATATCCTCTTCATACCTCTGTCGAACTGTTCGGTATTATGCCAAATATTATTCATTCTGGAGTATTTAACATGTTTTATATTATTTATATTGTTTATTATGTCATATTAGATCAATTGATATTAGTGTAATAATGAAGCATATTCTCCTGCATCACGAGACTGAGCTCATGGCAACCGACAGTGGCTTCAAAGCCACCTTATCTTTAACCCTTAAACGGTCCAAACATATATATACGTTCACGCGCATAGCGCCCCAAACGCATACATACATTTTATTTTTCATTTGTTCAAAATTAGCGCGATAGGCCTGAGTCGCCCAGACATGAGAGAATGGGTGTGCGCACTCAGTGTGCGCAGTATACAAAAAATCTGGGATGCCTGGGTACCACATGGTAGGACCAGTTACATTCAGTTTCATCCTGGGTCAACATCATGGCACATCCTCGTGATTCACTCACGCCTCATCGTATTAACACTCTACTATTCGAGGAATGTGATAGAGATCGTGAGTTTAGTGGATATGACACCAATGGGGCCAGTAATATTCAAGGAATTAGTGAAAATATCGACGATAACCCAGATGACCCCCAGCCCATCACCTCTGGGGTAGCAATACCTGTCCTAGGGCCAAGCACCTCTGGGGTAGCCAGTGTGGCCACATCAGACCCTAGGCCAAGCACTTCTAGGGTGACCAGTGTGGCCACAGAAGATCCTGGGCCAAGCACCTCTGGAGTGGCAAGTGTTACCCATAGGCAACTTCGCAAGAGGAAACTATCCTTTTCCCGGTGTTTTAGTAGTGATAGTGAAAGTGATGTAAGTGATGATGAGATTGATTTTATGCCAATTGAGGATTCGTCTAGTGATAGTGACGTTCATCATTCACCAGTGAAACCTACTTTTAGGCGTCGTTATCTACGTTCAGGCAGTGTGCCATATGCAATCCCCAAGGGTCGTGGCAGGTCACGATCCAAAACCCCGGCCACTGATAGTGAAAGTGATCACGAAGGGCAGTATGCGGGGATGGAGGAAGTAGTGGTGGGTGGCATGGTGCCTGGACCACATGGCGCAGTGGGTGGACAGACAAAGGACTGCCCGGCACCCCCTCAACCATGTGCTGCCTCCACTCCTCTCCCTCCTTCTCCTGCCCCCCCCTCACCCCATGCCAGAG